AGTTAAGATCTAACTCTAACAAACACATACACATGCTTACACAGTTACATGATAACAAGCCGTGGAAAATACAGATCTGAATCGGAATTCAAAGTTTAAAAGGATAAACATAGAGATCTACCGGGATTTACTGAGAGAGCAAATGTTAGGGTTTGGGCAACGCAATTGAAGAGAGAGAAAGCGGGCGGGGCAGGGGGGGGATAATTTTACCTTGTGATCTGCCTCGGCGGCGAAAGCGGGGGCAAGGAGGAAGAAGACGAAGAGGAGGGAGAGGGAGAGAGATCGGACGGAGGAGAACATGGCGATCGCCGGCGAGGGTGGGATCTGGACGGTCAGCGAGGAGGTGGTGTAATCTTTGTGCTGTGATGATTCTGATCTCTCCCAGAGGCAGAGGAGGGGAAGGCTGATGCCACTCGGACTCGACTCAACAACTCTCAAAAGTCTTCACAAGAGAGAGAGAGAGAGAGAGAGATTGCGACTATGCGAGTTCGGATCGGAACGCATCTTTCATTTTTCTTTAATTTAAATTTTCTTTTTTTATCTCTGACAAATGGGACAAATGGTTGATCGCGATTTTAATTAAATTATATTCAAATTTAGCCTTTTGGGTTGGGTTTAATGGTTGGGCTTTTTCTTTATTTCTTTTGTCCTTTTGAGACCACGTTTTCTTCTTCTTTTTTGGGCTTATGTTATGGATCATTGTTGCTTCACAACACCCAAACTAGTTTTTTTTTTTTTGGATAAACTGCGGTTTGACCCTCTAAAGTATTATCCAATTGAATTTGATTCTGAATTATTTAAAATCAGCCAATAATCCTTTGTCGTTAGATTCCATTCACTATTCAGTCAAATTTAAGGGCAAATTAATCTTTTTATCTTCAATTCTTACTTGTTAGTTATAACAACTAATAAAATAATGACACATGGACACAGAATAATTCAAAAACTTATGGCATAATAAAAAACATAAAGAAACCAAACATTTGCATAATGGGCCATTTCACATTACTATGTTTCCACATGTCATAATTTTATTGGTGGTTATAACTGACATGTAAGAATTGATGATTAAAAGACTAATTTCCCCTTGAATTTGACATAACAGTGGATGGAATCTAACGAAAAATGGTTAATTGGCTTATTTCATATAATTCAGGGGGTCAAACCACAATTTACCCTTTTTTTTATTGCATCAAACACTTGATAGATGCAAAAGAGACTCGTATCAAATATTCGGGGTCCTCAAAAGATCTTCGCAAATATATTTTCCGGATTTTGAGTAGTCCCAAGACCACCTTGGTTCAAATGTACACCCATCCTGCATGGATTCTCTCTCAAAAGTGAAAAATAAAATAAAATGAGAGATACTCATCCCTAAAAGAGAGAAGAGAGTGAGTTTGAGTTTTCAAGAGAGACAACACAATCACTTCCGCCGCCACCAAACTCCAATGGTTTTGATTCTCGTTATCTCATATTGGGTACAAAGGCAGATATAGGGAGGATGCAACCGAAAAATCTACAACGGGTGTTAGTGAGAATATTGACATATTTTTTAGGGAATGACCAAAAAGATTTCCAGTGGACAAACTCACTCAATGACCACTTGTATCGATTTTCAATATCAGAGACCAAAGTGAGGAGTTATGCTAATCTTATAAATCATTTTAATTAAAAAGCCAAACAATTATATTGGCATGTTCCCCTCCTTCCGGATTGTATTCTTCACCAAAATCTGATATCTCAAGTTCTTGCGGATGCTTTTGATAGATTGCAAGCTGGAATGCCAGTCACAACACAAGATTCCTGCTAGTGCACTCATGTTGGATGGAGGTATGTTTTACATGTTAAGGGCTCGCTTAGAAGTGGTTTTGAAATTACTAAAAATACTTATAGAGAAAATATTTTTTGGTTTCAAAACCACTTGAAGTGCTTTCTAGAATAATGCTTTTCTAAAATTCACTTGCGTTTTTACTAAGTGATTTCTACGAAATCTCTTTCAATTATTTTAAAAATATTTCTGAACGATGCACAAATGAGGAGTCTCTCCAAGAAATAATATATGTTCCTTTGGTGGAAGTCTAAGGTGTGAACGGATCCTTTCCCTGAAATATTCAACTCTGCACACTGCTTGCTAGAGATGTCTTACAAACTCCACTATCTGCAGTTGCTTGCTTCGGACGCAACCCACATTTAGTACTAGTGGAAGGATTGTGAGTGCTCATCGAAGTCGGCTTCACTCTTAACTGTGGAGTCTCTGATGTGTGCTCGAGATTGGTTGTTTTTTTTTTTTTTTTTTTGTGGTGATATTTAGACCTGGCAAAACTTTGGTTCTTTTGTGGAGGAAAGTTTGTGTTTTGCTGCTCGTTTGGCAAGTGCCTTTAATTGTAGAGTACGTGCGCATTGCAAAAAGTACCTCAAGTGTTTTTTAATGATTAGCTTGTATTTTTACTAAGAATTTTTTTAAAAATATTTTATCTAAAAGCACTTTGTCGTTTAAAAGTACTTGTCAAAAAAGCCCTTAATGTCATGAGAAAATTATGTTAACCTTTTAGTTGCATATATTTTGCTCTTGTGGAGAATATTTACGTTTGCAAGTCTTATCCATTGGCCTTGCAAGTTGTGATGTCTCGTATTACCTTTTATTTTAATAAGTACTAGTCTTCATGCACGCGTGTGTAAGTACTAGCCTTCATGCACGTGCAAAAAATATTTTTTTAAATCACGACATGTTACGCGTGATTTACACGTTTTAAATATATTTACAAGTGTAAATTGACAAAAGAAAAGTCAAATATTTGAAGTAAATGAATAATCTTATATCATGCTAGAAAAAATCCCTCATAAACAAATTAAAACATTTGAATTGACATAATAACATCGGTCTCTATAGGATTTACATTAAGAATAGATAAAATAATATTTAATAAAAAATTAATTAAATCACATTATTGCTAGCCCATTGTGAGGGTAAGCCCAGTTTCTCCCCTTTAGTGTAGATAATATCGTTTGTTAAAAGATAAAAAAAAATCATTTGACAACTAATTTAATCACATAATTATTCACATGCGAACGACTTTTTTTATAATCAGCATTACACATCTCTTAAGATGTTTTGAACATGTTTAAAAATAGAAAAATAATATTTAATAAACAACTGATTGAATCATATTATTGCTAGTCCATTGCGAGAATAAGCCTACCCCATCACCCTTAGTGTAGATTAAAAAAAATAATAATTTGATAATTAATTTAATTGCATTATTATCCGAGTACGAAAGATATTTATATATAACCGGTATAACACGTCTCTTAAGATGTTTTATTCGTATATTTTGATGATATGACCGTTCATACTTAATCGCTACTATCTCTGTCAAATTGCTTGCCCACTTGTTCTATGACAAAATTATTTAAAAATAAATTTACAAAATTACCCTTGGATTATTTTATGCATTCTTTTTAACTGCTTTTGATTTTTTTGGCTGAGGGGCATTCTGATCCTAATCATTTTGTCGAAGAAGCCGGACCCCATATTGGGGCTCTGGCTTTAAATATAAAAGATTGAGACATGGATTGATGAACATTCAACGAATTAGAGGTTACTATGCAATTATAATTATGTAGAATTATTCACTATTTTATTAACTTTTTGATACTAGTCGATTAATTTATGCTTCATATACCAGCAAAAAAATATTACTAATTCTTTTTTTCGTAAAAAAGCGAGTTGGTGGATGAGGGTTTAGAGGTATTATTTTTCTGAATAATACTTGACTACTCAAAGATGAGTAAGAGCTCATACTCAAAGTTCATAGTGTTTTAAACTCAGAGCTTTATACTTATGATCATAACTATTCATATTATGAATAACACTGTAAAGATCATCTATGCCAAAAATAAATTTAAATTAAGGTCGTTTAGTCAATCTATTGTAGTAAATACATAGACGGTTCGTAATACTTTTACCAATACCGTTCATTTGTTTTCAAACAGTTTAATGACTTTTTAATTGATTTTTTGTAGAGACGATATTTATAGAGTGATTTATAATTTGAACTGTTTTGATTATAAATATGAAGTTCTATAAATTGACAACGAATAATTTTAAGAAATTTTGAATAAAAATTCTTACTTATCTTTGAGTAGCCAAATATTGTTCATATTCTTTGCGGATGCAACAATGAGGAATTCTCAATTAAAATAACAAGTTGTGGATGTAGTTACAGAGGAATAAATTATAAACGAAAAACCTCATAATCTACCAAATCAAATGATTCGTGTTATTGAAATTTGATTCAATGACTACAAATAGAGACGCACTTTAAAAATTATAATAACTTTAACTGTTGAATCAAATTTCAACGACACGAATTTCATAATTTGGTTGATTAGGAATAAATGATCCGAAAATGACCCATTTCCAACGAAAAAGACTGATGCATGTGGCGCCGGTTCACACCGTCCCTTTGTCATCCCAAGTAAAAAATGGAGACTGATCCAAACAAAAATGGAAAAATAAAATAATGAAAAATAAATAAATATTAAGAAAGCTCACCATTATAAAGCTTGATTCCTTTTGCTTAACCTTTAAGACTCTCTGCATCTTCGATTCCTCAATCTCTCTCAATACCCAATCAAATCTCTCCCTCTCTCTCTCTCTCTCTCTCTCTCTCTCTCTCCAAATAGAACATTCTTTCTTTCAATCTTCACCACATGCAACCCCAACCTAATTCATTCCCCAAATCAAATCCAGCAAGTGATACAATTCAGTACCCCCCTTCCTTCCCAACCCCTTTCTCTCTCTAGAACGCTGATCTCGTTCCAGGATTTGGGTTTTCTCCGATTCGCTTTAGTTCTCTGTGTTTCTGGGTGTTGTGTGCGCTTGGAGACCCAAGACTTGAAAGCTCAATCGATCGTTTCAAGCTTCCGAGGTGTGCAGCTCAATTTGAGTTTCATTACAGAACCCCAAGTGCAAAATTAGAAGAAATCAAACGTAGAAAATGGAAAAGTACGAGGTTGTCAAGGATATTGGATCTGGGAATTTTGGGGTGGCCAGGCTTATGAGGAACAAAGAGACCAAAGAGCTCGTCGCCATGAAATACATCGACCGCGGCCACAAGGTCCTTACTTTTCCCCACTTTTTTCATTTCTCCGTTTACTTATTTTGTTTTTGCATTGATTTTTGCTTTGAAGTTTAATTCTTTTAGAATTATAAACCTCATGTAGGAAAACCCATTTGTTTAATTCCGGAGTCGGTGCTTGAAAAAGCTACAATCTTTCCATTTCATTCTATGAATCCATGAAAAAAACACTCTTCTAAAAAAAAAATCCATGAAAAAAACACAATATCTTATTAGTTTCAAATGATTATATGTATATGTGTATGACGTTAACTATATGTTTCATTGTTTGGTTGCAGATTGATGAGAATGTGGCAAGGGAAATCATAAACCACAGATCGCTTCGCCATCCAAACATCATTCGGTTCAGGGAGGTGTGTGTTTGTTGATATGGTTTTCACTGTGAAGGATCCAAATAAAATATAATCAGTTTCAGTGGGCTAATATGATGTTCTGGAATTTCAGGTAGTTTTGACTCCTACACATCTTGGTATTGTGATGGAGTATGCGGCTGGTGGAGAGCTCTTTGAGCGAATCTGCAATGCAGGAAGGTTCAGTGAAGATGAGGTTTGATCACTGACCTTGACTAATGGGAAGCTCCAAATTTTGAAAACAGTTGTACTTGTACCCTCATAAAATCCCGGAAATGATAAAGAAAACGATAGCTATACTTACAGCATGCCAATACTTATGATTGCATAACCCTCCAGTGTGTGTAGTTCAGTCTGGCTAATTTGTTAAGTTTCTAAGTAACAAAGTCATCTTAAGTTTTGTTGGTTTTGCAGGCTAGATATTTTTTTCAGCAGCTTATCTCGGGAGTTAGCTACTGTCATTCTCTGGTAAAGATAATACGAGTCGTTAATGCTCCTGATCTCCAATGGATTTTTTCCTTAACCTGTGATTCTCATTTGCCCCTTGTCTTGCTGTGCAGCAAATATGCCACCGAGATTTGAAGCTGGAGAATACCTTGCTGGATGGCAGCGCAGCTCCACGCCTGAAAATTTGTGATTTTGGTTATTCTAAGGTTTAATTCTGCAATGAAAATTTGTGAAAATTTGCCCCTTGTTAGAGGCTTTGATGTTTCAAGGTAAATGTAAAAGTTCTATAGTCTGATGAACTTTATTTGTGTAGTCATCCTTGCTGCATTCAAGGCCTAAATCAACAGTGGGAACTCCAGCATATATTGCTCCTGAGGTTCTTTCTCGAAGAGAGTATGATGGCAAGGTAGCTAACTTTCGCGTTGTTGTCATTTTCAGTCTTCTATAACTGATGCACCACAGTTTTAAAGATACTGGTATATTGTTCTAAGGACCAGTTGATAGCAATTCATTACAATGAATGGAATTTTCCGGATTGTGTCATAAGATTTCTTTATGTGCGCCAAGTAGGTGGTTGAAGGCGTAGGTATATCATTTAATGATGGCGAAAATGAGTTGAAACTTGGAGTGGCAGCATCAATTTTTGTGCTCAATTTTTTGCTTCCATAATAGCAATGTTCATTTACATGACAACTAGGAATCAGGGAGGTAAACCGTTCTCCTGCCTGGGGAGAGCAGGAAGTGAAATGATGTTATACACTCTTTCATTGAATCTTTTGTGTCTGGCATGTAAGAAGAAATTTTCAACAAGAAAATATATTATACAGCTTTTACCTCAATTATCTGATTTCGGTTTCTGTTCATCCAGTTGGCAGATGTGTGGTCCTGTGGAGTAACCCTATATGTTATGCTGGTGGGAGCTTATCCATTTGAAGACCAAGAAGATCCAAAGAATTTCAGGAAAACTATGAAAGTAATTTGACTAGTTATTCAGCCTCTGAATGTTAATCATTCATGTTTTTTCGTTTTAACTGTGTAGTTTCCTTTCATTCTTTTGATGCAGAAAATAATGGGCGTTCATTACAAGATCCCAGACCATGTTCACATGTCTCAAGAGTGTAGGCATCTCCTCTCTCGCATCTTTGTTGCAAATCCAGCAAGGGTATGTATGATACTATGTTGCCGGGCACTTTTTGATTTTGTATTACTTAAAAAAGAAAGCTTTAGGTTGCTGAACTTTGTGGGTGAATGGCAAATGGCTCGTTGTCCTGTTATGACTGAATAACATCAGATTTGCATATATAGGCTTCTGACACAGAATATGCTACTAGACTAGGCGTATAATGAAGTGTCCCTTGCAATGTTTACCTTGATAGTTTTTGGAATAATCAAGAATCCATAATGGCTTAATTGTTGTCTTATCAACAAACTAATGTTTTGACCTTCGGAATGAGGGGATGGAGGTATGCATCTAAGTCCTCGTATATTTTGTTTACTTCAGTCTCATCTGATTTGCTCCTGTCTAGGTCTTTTTTTGTCACCCAAAGTGCCCCCTAAAACGAAAAGAAATGAATTTTAAAAGTTTGAATCATTGTGCTAGTGTTGAACATAAATAACTCAACTGAATTTGATGTTGGATCTTATCAGCTGAGTGCATTGTTTTCTGTTTTCTTGCTCTTCCATGGTGTGCTCAACTGGCTTTCAATTCTTGCTTCAGAGGATCACCATTAAAGATATCAAGAACCACCCATGGTTTTTAAAGAACTTGCCGAGAGAGCTTACAGAAGCAGCTCAAATCATCTACTACAGAAAAGAAAACCCAACCTTTTCTCCCCAAACTGTTGAAGACATCATGAAGATAGTGGAGGAAGCCAAAATTCCTCCTCCAGTTTCCCGATCAATTGGAGGCTTTAGCTGGGGAGAAGAAGATGGTGATACAAAGGAAGAAGTAGAAGGCGAGGAGGAAGAAGAAGAAGATGAGTATGTTAAGACAGTCAAAGAAGTACATGCAAGTGGAGAAGTGAGCGTCAGCTGAGGACCAGTTTCTTCCTTAATATCGGAGAACCCGAAAGTGCGGGTTCTCCTTGTCCTTGTCGTAAAAAACGTTGTCATGTTTGTAAAAACAGTCAGTTTTTCTGTTTTGCGTAGGTGATGGTGTTTCAATAAACAAGCTTGTGTAAATTATAGTGTGGTGCTGAGGACAATAGTTTGTCCTGAGACTGACTGGATGTATCACTAGTAGAATTTGTAGTTAAAGCTTGTGGGTTTGAGTTGTTTGTCTTTGTCTTTGAATTTAAGGGAGAAGGGAGGCGGGAGGCTCGAGGCTCGGAGGGGGAAGGGTGTAAACGCCTAAACGGGCTGTGTTGTATCGTTTTATCCGAGAACAAGCGATTCTCACATAGGAAACTTTGCCCCCTAATGGGGTGTGGCATGTAAGGAGGTTTATTCAATTAGAACATAAGTTGATAATACTTTTGTTGTATACTTTGGTACCTCCCCTATCTCTTTATTTGGATTGCTTTGTTCTGATTGCTTGTCTTCATTTTCTAGTTCTCTGTTAGGATAAAATGCTTTTCTTACCCCATGTCGTAACTTTACTGGAGTAGGATTCTCTCCCTTGAAATCTCTCTCTCTAGCTTTATATATATATATATATGTATATATATATATATATATATATATATACAGAGAGCTTAAGGGGAGGGATCCCTATTTTTTGAAAAAAATGGGAATTAGGTGTGGGGCTCACTTCACATCTAATTTTAACGATCCGAACCGTCTATTTTGTTAGTCTCGATTCATAGATCATCCTTGCAAAATATTAGCTAAATTGGAAATGTTTAAGACATCTAATTGGGTTCAAGGAAATGAACGAATACTTTGTTATATAAGAAAATATGAAATTTGATAGTGATAATTAGATAGGCAAATGGTTTCGGATTGAATTGAATTTTTGCAAGGATGATCTATGAATCGAGACTAACAAAATAGACGGTTCGGATCGTTGAAATTTGATGTGAAGTGGGCCCCATACCTAATCCCCATTTTTTTCAAAAAATGGGAATCCCTCCCCTTAAGCTCTCTGTATATATATATATATATATATATATATATATATGTATGAATTGGGATGACTAATATGTGCATGAGCGAATGCAGACTAAAATCGGGTTGAATTTGGGTTGACATGGACAAGAAAGGCATCCACCCAACCTAACACATCCCAATAAACGATCAGGTTGGGACCGGGTTGAGTTTGGGTGGGTTTCCATTTATAGTTTAAAACCATGTTGGGATAAACGAACTCCGGTTGACCCAACTCAAGTTGCACCCCGACTACAATTCAGGTTCAGAATACAGCAAAGAGGCTTACTTTTATATTCTTCACATCTACTAAAAAAAAATAAAAAATAAAAAAATTACAATAATGTTGTCAATAATTGAAATATTCGATCAACCATCTCATCTCAAGTCAGAGGCCAAGCACATGGTAACATATCATGAATTAATTTAGAGCAGTACATCACACTGCTGCACTACATTACATTATACAGAACCTCTCTGCCAAATATTTGAAAAAACAAACGTCCATACCGAGCAACCAAACGTCCCATACTACGCAGACTAACGTCCATACTCAGACCTTCTGAGCAAGATCAACTTTTTTCGGTGCATTGAACCCAAAAACAGCGAGTACATTCGCCTTTCTAACCACTAACAAGAACAAATGAATGTCATCATTATTCTGGTACCGATGCTAAACTTCAGACAGAAATTGAATCAAGGCCTTGTTCCCGTACGTTTCAGTTAACTGCTGCTGCCGCCTCCGTTAGCACTGCATGCAACTTCCTAGTCTCTGTCAAAACACATTCCCTGTCAACAGTGGCGGATCCAGGAAATAATATTAAGGGGTCAGTAAGAATAGCGCGTAGCGCGCAAATTTTTTTATACCAGAAATAGCATGCATATTACCATTTCATCGAGTCTTTGTAGGCCTGAAGTCATTTGAAAATGCATACTACAGACATGTTAATGTATGCAAGGGGCAACACCCAAGATATTCACGGACATTTATCAGGTTTTGGTAGGTCTGAAGTCGGTTGGAGGGCAAGTATGAAGCCAACTTTAATCTTCAAAAGGGCAACACTCAAGGTATCCATGGACATTCACCGAAGTTCGGAGGGTCAGCACCTAAGGCATCTATGGAGGTTCATCGAAATTCGGGGGTCAGCTGACCCCTCATGCCCCTTAATGGATCCGCCAGTGCCTGTCAAATAGAGCAGACACAACTGCAACACCTTTCAGGTTCGGTAAACCCATTTCCATCACTGGACGTTCATTTGAAATATTGATCCCACCAATCGCAACCACAGGTAATTTGGAAGCCAAACAAACAGTTTTCAGCCCGTCCAAGCCTACGGTGAGATTGTTTTTCTTTGTATTAGTTGGCTATACACCACCACAGCCAATGTAATCAGCACCACCAAGCCATGCTTGCTGTGCTTGCTCCGGGATCTTGCAAGACACAGCAATTATCTTTCCGGGTGCAAGGAGAGAACGTGCAACATGGGCGGGCATGTCGGACTGGCCAATATGCACACCATCAGCGTCAGAAGCAAGTGCAACATCAATGCGATCGTTTATTAGTAATGGAACTCCATAGGCACGGCAAATTTGGAGACATGACTTGGCTGCTTCCAGGAAATCCCCGGTTTCAATATCCTTTTCCCTGCAAAGCAAAGTTAAAGTATTGTCAAGATGAACAAACGGAAAACTACTAGAAGCAGAAATTTATTACGTATCATAAGCATAGTTATGGAAATGCATACAAACAAATGCTCAAGAAGGGCAGAGTATAATCTAGGCCATGAAACTTTTAAGGGTGGGTGTATTGATTGGGCTAAAAGAATACATAATAACAACATACATGAGAAACGTGGGTGACAGTTGATAACAATTCCGAGCAGGCAATCCCAATGTGAAACAATAACTTATGAAGTTTGCCATATTCGTAAACTGAAATCAGCATCTGACTCTACAAAAGAACTGCATGACATTCAGAAACATAGGAGGCCCTGGGGATTTAACTCATGATCATTAATCTCGGAAAAAAACTGAAATAAGCACAAATAGAACTCCACAAGAAAGGAAATGATCATCTAAAATACATGAAGAATGAACATTAACCTAAAGGCGTCTCTAGGATTAGTTATCAAGGCACTAATACATACAAATGGAAGAACCAAATCACTAGTATTAAAGTTATCAGAGAGACATAAAGCCTAAAGTATATAAGAATTATGATGAGCATTAGATGAGCATAAAGCCTCAATTTGACAATTGTATCTGTTCATACGCGAATCTCTAACAGCATACAAGAATAGATCGCTTGGATTGAATCTGACTTGTCTACCAGAATTGTGAATGTTACTCTTGAGCCTCGTTAGGTGATCGAAAGGGCCTCGGGGACCATTTCCAATGAAAATGTCTTTGCTATAATCCAAGGCAGTCTCAACAAAGAACTTAGCTGCATACCAAAATTAAATAAAAAAGATATTAGATTTGGGCACTTCAATTGCATTTGTGAATGTCAGTCTTTTGTGTGTTCTTGTTGGTGCGGGTGTGAGTGAAAGTGGAATTTCACATATGTGACAAAAGTTATCCCTGCTATTTGGAATCACACAAACCCATGACTATCCTCTGTTATTCTCGAGTGTGACTACTTCAGGATACGTGCTCATCTGAAAAAAGCCAGGCTATTTTATCTACTCTTCCTGCAGCATATGATGTATAAGAAGCACATATGTATTTACCTTAACAGCCTCAAGCATTGAAGAACCCTTTGCCAGCTCAGCTGCAATACATGATGCCAAAGTGCAACCAGTTCCATGAGTATTACGAGTTTTTATGTGTGATGAACGCAACTCATGTAAGTGTTCACCTGCAATATCAATCCTAAAGAAATAAGTTTTCCAGAACTTCACTCGTGCATCAAGTGGATGAAGGAAAAGTATTATCATCGGTGTGAAGGCTCCAGAAGACCAAAGCTTACCATCAAAGAAGACATCAACGGCATCCAATGAATCAGGAAGGTCTCCGCCTTTGACAAGAACATTTCTGAAAAGCAATGACACTGTTTTATAAAACTACAGTTCCAACACAAAGAAACTTAGTTTTTATTTCATAAATTTCCAACTATCACACTGCATTAATTCTGTGAAAAGTAGCGAAACCAAGTGAAATAAGCAAAAGAAAACTACAAAATTCTACGGGAGAAGAAGGAAATGTTCAAAAAAACCTGTAACTGGTAGCTTGAATGAGAGACATTGTCTATTGGGCAACTCTTCCTAACCTCAATGAGAGACATTGTGCTATTGGGCTTCACACCCCTAGAACGGTCATTGTCTCCTCATCTTTGTTGTACACTGGTGACAACATACTGAGGATGGCACAGAGCTATAAACCTTGCCAAATATGTCAAAGGGTACTTGCTGTAATAAGTTGAGAGCTTGGGAGACTGTTCTTTGGAAACCAAAGACTAATACATCCACACAACATTCACAGATTACTAATACCCGTCAAATTACTAATCCCCACAACATTTACACGATCACGCAATCTTGTTTCCAAGAAACGTGCCAAAAACAAAGAAATCCATCTACTGAGAAAATAGATGAGTTTGGGGGTCCTAACTCCTAATACACCATTGCCCAAAAGCATATGCCTAAAAACACAGTAAATACCCTGGCCAAACCCTCTAAACCAAACAATACCATATGATAGCCCAACTGCCCCATCAATCAGATAATTTCAAACACGATCACAATTTTACATTATCCCCCAACTTATTCAACAGTGAGGTCAAAAGGATCAAAGATGGAGACTGTAGTACAGCCATTGAACCAACGCAACCAAGAAGAAATGACCAAATAGAAATGACCATGACCATTTCGTACAAATTCCTGAATACAAGTTCAAGGGTACTCCTTCGCGTTTTAGTTAAAAACTACAAACACCTTCGCGTTTTAGTTGATTATCCAGGTGAAATGATTAACTATTCCTAGTAAAGTCTTAGGTAATGGAAGAATGTTTTGTGAGAACAAACAAAAACCAGTCACATTTGTGAAGTGAAGTGCCTTCTCTTATGATTTCAACAGTACTCACAATGCATTCCAATTTAGTACTAATGCAACATTCTGCTTTATTCAAAACATGTCCAACATTCTGCCAAGCAGATCTGAATGCACATTTTGCATTCAATAGATGGTTTCAACATCCTAAAGAGGTTTTCAAAAAGCGATAAAAAACCAGAAGGTGGGACTATGAATTTACTCAATCTTATGTACAATGGATTAGCATACCTAAACCCAAGAAGAGTTGAAGGACCAGCCAATACTTCTCCACTTGTAGACACCATAACAGGGTCAACCACTAAAGCTGCCTTCAATGATATTATCAAACTCATTAAAAATGCTACTTTATTAACATTAGATAAAAAAATGTTCAATTTTAAACAATGTTTTAAAAGGTTCGCCTCAGGGCGCGCCTAGGCGCCATGTGAGGCTGGGCTTGAGGGTTGCCGCCTCTGTTTTGAGGGAGTGGGCAGAAAGCGCCGCCAGAGCCACCTAGGCGTGCCCAAGGGGATTTTTTTTTTTAAACTCCCAAACCCAAATTTTGGGTAGGGTTTTAACTACCTCATACCTCTTCCTTACACTATCATCTCTCTGCCTTTTTTTTCTGTTTTTTTTTTTTATATAATGAATGTGTGTGCTGTCTGTGTGCATTGTTATAGGTGTGCTCATTATGCTTTTCATCCTTTATTTATATATATAATATAATATAATATATGTATATATATATATATGTGTGTGTATATGTATTTATAATATATGTATGTGCTTAGGGTGATTATTGATTAATAATCTTCTTTTTTTTTTAATGTAATATATGTGTACGCTAATTGTATATATTAAAAAATTTAGGTCCCGTGAGGCTTCGCCTCACGCCTCATGTCTAGGCTGGGCTATCCCTCGGACGCCTCACGCTTTTAATACATTGATTTTTAATAGGACTGCATACCTCGAATAGGATACTCCTGAAGCTGTTGATGCAGAATTTATTATCAATCAATTCTATAAGCTCATGATGATGGTCGAACATACGTCATTGTACCATAATGGTTGACTAAATTCCTAACTTGCTAAAATCAAACAGTCGAACATATGTCATTGTACCAAAATACCGAAGTATTTTGGACAAGAGTCGTAAAAACAGACCAGCTTGTAAAACCAGTTGAAGGTGGAAACTAAAGCATTTCCAAACATTGACTTACCACATCAACATCCATATCAGATACCACAGACTTCATCTGCTCGGCAACAAACTCCTCGGGCACAATGTTTACACCCTATCCATCAAAGAAAAAGAAAGATAACAGTCACCACTATAAATGTTTTTTTTCTTTCTATCTTGTGTTATGCTTTCTCAACAACCAAACAGAGCATAGGCCACGGAATGCAACATCAAACAACCACCTGAACCCCAACAGTGTTTTGTGCAGTAACAGCAGTTATGACAGCAGAGCAGTACACTCCACGAGCAGCACAAGCCATAAGGTCAGCTTGGATTCCAGCACCGGCACCCGAATCAAAGCCAGCAACAGTCAGTACATGTGGATTCTTAACTGCAGAGTGGTCACTTGTCATTGGAACTCCTGTTCGGGTGAAGATTTCTTCAACAGCTTCCTAAGGCATTGGCACTTTGGAGGTGTAGTCGGGCTCTTACTTGCTGATGTGTTGCAAGAAGATAACATAGTTAGTTTTGAGGTGTCTTTGTCGGGCCTTAGGTGTAGGCCTTGAGGCTCGTAATCAAAATTAACTAAGTGCTAGGCGTGTCACTGCTATCTCAGTATAGCAGATGTAGAACAAGATTGTGTTTAGTAGATTACTTGCATCCTAAGTTACTCGGATTTCTTGTTATCAAAGGATTGTCGTGGATGAGTTAAGTCCACATTAAGTTCTTTTTCTTGCCTTGTGACCAAGGACTTTCAGTTTATAGTCTTGTATATTCGAATGAGGGGAGTTTAGATCCCTTGAGCCATTTGTTTGGTTCTTGATTGGTTTTAAATGAAAGCATATCCATTAAGTTGACCAGATCCAGATGCAAATGTGACTTTTAAAGTAGAAAAACATATAGATATGACATGAATACATATTGGAGAATACATTAAGCAATAGATCTATTATCTTAGAACACACACAAAGAACTTTAAGCAAGATTTCACCTTGTAGGGCAAGGTTGAACTTCCTGCAATCACTTCTCTTTGAGTTTACAGAAGTTTTTATGCTAAAAAATTATGGATGATAAACCAGTTTACACAAGAGAATCAATACTACGCCACTAAAAGTGATAGCATAGTTTTAAACTAGACAAGAGATAGCTTTTGTGTGGAAGATATCCTGAAAATGATCGAGATCTAGGCTGATTACAACTTTTGGATGCAAATATAGCTTGAGAGTAGAGTTTGTATGTTTGTTTAATTGGTTGAGTGTCCTTGTCTCTGGGGCCTCTTCCTTCTTTTATAGGCCGATTAGCCTGACTGCAATGATTTCGCCCTTGTTCGAAAGCACTTGGAGAGTAATGAGTTATCAAGTTTCTACTTGTATTGCCATTGAAAAATATTTTTTGGCTAATTGTGAGTCAGTTCCCATCACTTGATATTTAAATCATAGGCTCATGGCCTATACATTAATGGAAATGCGTCAATTCGTCTCTAGGCTTGATGCTTGGGCATCGGTCAACCCTCCCCTTAATTGGTATTTATAGACTTCCACACATTTACAGCCCAATGTTCAAATATTAATCCAAACAACTCCATTTCCCTGCATTTCCATTGAAGTTCTCGTTTGCCTGCTTCGGTTGAATCTCGAATTCTCCAAAAAGCTCAAACCTTTTGATGGCAGCACAGCCTGGTAACGATTTAACGCCAAACAATTAAAATTATAAGTTAAACCCAGAAATGCAACAGCCATGGCAACACAGCAGCAGTGATTGAAAATGCAAAAGATTTTGAAAACGTAATTGGATATGCAATTCTTCAAATAAATAAATAAATTGATGGTAAACTGGAAAAGCAGAAGACTAAAGAATTCTGACGTTGATTGATTGATCTATTGGTCTAACATTCTGCCTTTTTTTCTCGGCAACCAAACAGTAAATTGGAAAAGCAGCGAAGAGGGTGGGGAGAGCTTGCCTTGTTGAAGGAGAGGAAGGAGAGAGAGGTGGAGAGAAAGTGAGCCTCGTTTGCCATGAAATTATGCGATGATGATGGAAACCTCAGCCATCTTTTAAAATGAACGGTCATGATTAAACCTTAGCAGAAAGCTCAATCTTGTCCCAAAACCCGATAGTGTGAAGTGCAGCAGCCACACCAGCCAATGCCACTCCTCCACCCTTCCTGAGACTGCTCCTCTCTATCAGGCAGCCATTGCTGCCGCCTGTACCTCCATTTCATGTGAGTTCTTCCTTCTTCTTCTTCTTCTTCTTCTTTTAATTACACTCTTGCCCCAGCCTCTGCAAATTGTACTACTCTTCTTCTTCTTCTTCTTCTTCTTCTTTTCCCTCTTCATTTATAATTTCATTTCTGATTTGATTTCTTTAAATTAGGGATTTAGGGATTTGAGCAAGTTAGGAATTTAGTGTTTTTCTTGATGGGAGGCTGGAGTTGGCCCCTTAAAGGTTTTGGGTCTGCCTTAAACATTGCCCTCCAACTGTTCGATAAAAATGCCTCAATGGCGTCTGTACGTGTGCTGCGCACGCCGAAGCCTTCCTTAAAAGAAACTTCATCAAAAAATTAGTCTAGTTAATTTACAGAACAACTAGTGTGTACGAAAAAAGAAGAGAGTATATCAACTTTCGTACATGAAAAATGAATCGACATCCTTACGTACAATAAGATTACTTAGTTTAATTGTAATCGTATATCGCTTCAACCCGTATTCTATGGCCCAACGTATTGTGTACTTATCATGGACATTCTTGTTCTTATAGAAACAGTATAAATTATGTACCGGCGGAGAAAAATTTCTAGAGCTGCCACTGGTTTGTAGCTGATGCCCTGCTTCTGTTTTGGCTTAGTCTCAGTTTTGGCTTTTGAATATAGCTTATATAGACTTTTACTTGATTCTGAAATCCACTCGTTTTGTTTTAGATTTCGGCCTTTTGGTCATATAACAAAGGAGAAGCTGGCAGAATTTTGACAGAATCTTTTCACTAAGATAGATGGCTGAGTGCCGAAGAATCATTTTTTGGAGAGAGTGTGCTCAAGTTTGAAGGTTCTGAGAGGTGGGTTTTCCTGGCTTCTTGCTAGCTCTTGTTTCACTTCCACTGGAAGTAGTGGCATCGACATCATTATTTCTGGCGTATCATTCTTCATTGAAGTGACCGAAGTGCAAAGAGGAAATTAGCGGATTACTCTTGAGTATGACAATAGAAGAAATTAAGAAAATGTGTTACCGGTTCTGAAAATCTCTCTTTTTCTTGCAGGAATTTAATAATGGCTGCTGCCACCACCTCAAGGGCCTTTCTCTACTCCCATTACTACCGTAGTCTCCCATTCTTCTTTCCCCCTCTTAGTACTGTGTCTAGGTTACCCACCGTTCGCAGAAATAAGTTGAGGAATCCAGTCATTCTCTCTACCATCAAGTGTTTTCAGTCCTTGTCCGGGCGTCCAAATGTGGTTGAAATTCTTGAAGAGAGAGGGTTGCTTGAATCCATCACCAGTGAGCATTTAAGGCAATCCTGTTCTGACCCCAATCTCCCTCCTCTCAAAGTCTATTGTGGGTTTGACCCAACTGCCGAATCCTTGCACTTGGGAAACCTTATTGGAATTGTTGTCCTCTCATGGTTCCAAAGATGTGGGCATCACCCCGTTGCTTTGATCGGTGGTGCCACCGCTCGTGTTGGAGACCCTTCCGGCAAGAGCTTGGAGAGACCGAGCTCGACCTTGATACTCTGTCCCGAAACACCACAGGAGTAACCAATACGATTACGAGAATTCTGGGTGGGATTTCCATCTTGAATAATTATGATTGGTGGAAAGAGGTTCGGTTGTTAGAGTTTCTCAAAGATGTGGGTCGGTATGCAAGAGTGGGGAGCATGATAGCAAAGGAGAGTGTGAAGAAGAGGTTGGAGTCAGAACAAGGAATGAGCTATACTGAGTTCACTTACCAGTTATTGCAGGGATATGATTTCCTCCACCTCTTCCGCAATGAAGGTGTTAATGTCCAGATTGGAGGTAGCGATCAATGGGGGAATATAACTGCAGGGACTGAACTCATACGCAAGATTCTTCGTGTGGATGCTGCTGCTTATGGCTTGACATTTCCTCTTCTACTGAAGAGTGATGGAACCAAATTTGGCAAGTCCGAAGATGGTGCCATATGGCTTTCGCCATCCATGTTGTCTCCCTATAAGTTGTATCAGTATTTGTTCTCTGTTCCCGATGTTGATGTGGTCAGGTTTCTCAAGATTCTCACTTTCCTGGACATGGATGACATCAAACAGTTAGAGAGCGAGATGGAGAGACCTGGATACTTGCCCAACACAGCTCAGCGCAGGCTTGCTGAGGAGGTCACTCGTTTTGTGCATGGTCAAGATGGTCTGGACGAGGCCCTCAAGGCAACTGAAGCAATGAGGCCTGGTGCTGATACTAAATTGGACTGGAACACCATTAAAGCCATTTCTGAGGATGTCCCCTCATGCTCATTCCTGTATCATCAGGTCCTTGATCTCTCTATTCTTGATCTCTCAGTTTCATCTGGTTTGCTTGACAGCAAATCTGCTGCCCGGCGTCTGTTGAAGCAAGGGGGACTTTACTTGAACAACTCCAAAGTTGATAGTGAAAATAAGAGAATTGAACCTGAAGACATTGTGGACGGGAAACTTCTGCTTTTATCTGCAGGCAAGAAGAATAAGGTTCTGGTACAGATAAGCGACACCTGAGGGGTGCCTGTCTGATGGTATGTCTCATATCACTTCGATGCTCATCTTTAAAGCTCGATATTCACAGATACAACTGTTCAACATTTAATATTGTGCCATCCAGAACCACCTGATATCTCTGTTCAGTTACTTTTGCATTGACTTGCATATGTTTTAAGCTTATGAGTTGTTTAAGTGTAGAGTAGTTGCTGAATCCCATACTTCTTGGAACCCAATTTAAGTGTAAATCGAAAACTAAAGTTAGAGTAGTGTTTAAAGCTGTTCATGATTAAGGCTTGCTTCTTTCTGGTGCCCTGTTATATACTCCTTCACTCTTGCTGTGATTTGTGATCAACCTTTCAAATTTCTGTGCTGTTTTAAAACTTAAAAATGTTGGTTCCACAGCATAAAAATGTTTCGAGCTATTTCTTTTCCCCTGAACTTCGAACGTTCATTGCAATTTTGTTTTTGAAACGTGTCCCCCGGTTAAAAACTTTGAACTTTCATTGGTCATACTAGAAGCATTTATCATATTCGTTTGTCACTTGAACGAAAATCTTAACAATATTGTTAAGATATTGCTATATTGTGAAGTTCAATCTTTTTGGTCTATAAACCCTTTCAGAATCTGTGTTTTAGGTGGACCATATTTGATTGAGAATAAGATATCGTGCAATATCGATTTTGGTATGAATGTTGGGGATGAGGTATAGGATTTCTAGTTCACCGTAGTTTTTATCTTTCGAAATCCGCTTTGGCGTAAACCAGTATTTACATCAAGTTCAACTAACACTTACATATGATGACAAAACAATCCCAAATGTTAGTTCCATTGGAGTTGTCTACATTGGTGATAGTGTCCCGTCAAATTATATGGTCAGCCATTCTGCACAAGGAAAGGTTGAATATACGTGAAGATGTTTTTTATGGCAAAGTTTGGTCGTTACTGTTCAGTCTGACAATTACGGGACAGAGGTTTAGGGCCGAAGGGGTAGAGGAAGACCGACCTAGAAGGACTTTGGAAGAGACTCTAAGAAAAGACTTAGAGTACTTGGATCTAACGGAAGACTTGACATAGAATTGAGCGCAATGGCGTTCTAGGATTCATATAGCCGACCCCACTTAGTGGAAAAAAGCTTTGTTGTTGTACTGTTCAGTTTGACTAGCTGTTTTACTTTTGTATAGCATCATCCATGCTGGTCAGCTATTACGTATAGATATTGATTTGTAATTACGCACGAACTGTTCACCATTCGAAGTGTGTATAGTACGAACTCCATTGTTTTGACCTAGGATTAGCTCTTCAAAGTTCTGAACACATATACTAACAACGACTCTTATCGGTGTTCCAACAGGTGTTTTGCTTTCGTTAATGTGAATCTGGTGAAAGTTGGAGTTTAAGAAGTTGGATACGAGCATCCTCCCTTTAAAGATGACATTTTTCGCTGTGGTTCTTGAAGGCTGATGAGGCTTAAACGCAACTGTTTTCCCCCCGTTGTTTAGATGATTTGTTTTTCTCTTAATTAATTTGGTCTGTATCATATTGATTGGTCTATTCTTTTACGTAAAGTTGAAATGTTGATCTAGTTTGACAAGAGTGCCTTGTAGTCATGTAGCATGTGCTTTTAAAAGGATTGAAAGCGCTTTTAAAGAAAATGCTTTTAGGTTCCAAAGGCACTTTAAGTGCTTTTCACAAGAAGCACTAGTTATGTGCTTCTTTGAAGAAAATGTTTTTTCAAGATTTACTAACATTTTTACTAATGATTGTTTTTAAAAATATTTTCACCAAAAACACTTTTAGTCAGTTTAAAAGGACATCCAAACAAGCTCGTGGTCTCTACATTGCGTTGCATCTCAGATGTGTTGTGTTACTCACGAAATTATTACATGATTGCCACTCAATTCTAAAAACTTTTTCAATGACCGACGGATCACCGATTGTCTAAAAATCTAGCCGGTCTTTGAAAAAACTGATACAATTGAACGTCAATCATGTAATAGGATTGCGAGTAACAATTTCGAGCAACTTGTACCACAACGGTAAAATTTACTTATTAAGTGAAAAAGATCGTACCCAGTGCACAAGGCTCCCGCTTTACGCAGAGTCTGGGAGAGGTGAATGTCGGTTAGCCTTACCCCCATTTATGGAGAAGCTGCTCCCAAGTCTCGAACCCAAGACCTACCGCTCATGGGCGAAGGCACTTGTCATCGCACCAAGTGCAACCTCTTACTTATTAAGTGAAAGAATTAATAAAATCAAGAACGAATGATTAATATCAACAATTCAGACACTCAATCAAAAAAATTAATAAAAATCCGTACCTTACATCTACACAGCTACGTACAATCCACACACACTATATACATACACGTGTATTTCTTATTTATTCTGTACGACGTCGTTACTATCTTCAAACAAACACAACCCCTTCACATGTTCTCAGTCAAATGTACATACCAAGGTCCATGAACACTAACTGATACGGTGGCTGCCACCACTAAAACCTCCGCAGCTTCCACCACGCTTTCTGTCAGCGCCACAGCTCCAACTTGCCGGAGCGCTGTTTCTGCTAACTTTCTTCCTAGGGGTCCGCTCCCGCCAAGAACCACTCCCCTTGCAGCCGTATAAACAGCAGAAGAAACCCTTTTAAACACGGGATCCTCAGCTTGCAAGCTCTTTCCCAACATGCTCGTGATAACCGCCTTCCTCGATCGAAGCTTCTCGCAGTCTGCAACTTCATTGCCGTCGATCGAGAAGTCACTAATTGATTCAACAATTTCCTCCATGCCTGCATCTTCGGCACTGCCCAGGGTCCCCAAAAGTCGCTCGGTGCATTTTGATAATACGCGTTCCATGTCTGTGGGGCTGGTTACTATCCTCTCACTTAGAAGGGTTTGCCGGCAAATAAGAACGCTGCGTTTGCATAAATTCATCAAGGATTAGAAAGCTATGATATAGTCACTCAAGGTCAAGGCAAAGACAACTGAAACTTCAATCATATAGGAAGTAAATCCGAGAGCGCGCGCACTGAGTTACCTTACGGAAGTAACAATAATTTTCTGAATTTGGGCCTGAACAGCCCTCAGCCGAGAACAGTTAAGCTTGAGAGTCTCAGGCAGAGCTTCTTCAGTCAGACCAGACACTCCGCTTACCGACTTCAACAAACCAATCCTCACCAACAAATCAACTGTTTCTCCCTTACATTCCGGTTGTTGAATACCTGGTCCAAGAGAAACAAACACGTATCAAACAAAGAAACGCAGAACCCACCTTGCGATTACAAACATCTCCTTAAAATAAAATGAAAATTTACAAAATGTAATTTTCAAACCTGTGCTATTAGTAGCAGCAGAAGTAGAAGGAGAATTTGCTTTCACCAGAAAGCTTCCACCACTTCTAAGGGAGGTGGTAGGAACAAACCCCTGAGATGGATTATCGCCGCTTGTCAGTGTTGAGCAAGAGATTGTATGTTCTTGCCACTCCTGATCTTTGCAATCCCACACTGTTGAAAGCCACTGTGCTGTAAGTGGTAGAGAGGTATTGGCATCAGAGGGAGATCCATGGCGATCGGCAAAAGCTTTTCTCAGGTACTGCACACCAGTTGGCCCCTTTAACAAAGGTTCCATAAGTCTTATACGTGCTTTGCTAATCTCTCGTTTAAGCACCTGTTACAGAATTCAACATTACATCACTCTGGGGGAATCTTTGGTATTTCAAACTACATTATGACACTTGAATCCACTGACTAAAAAGAACTTTAACAGAAGTGTTTGAAATACTGTGTTTTGGGATAAAGAAAGGTAACTATCAAATACACTGAAAACATTTTCGAGTCTCATGCAACAATTCGCAAATACTACTACAAAATACACAACACCAATAATTCAACGAAAGACGTTATGTGAAACCTTTTTCAGATGTACAACTAAAACTAGAGACATACCTGAATCTGCTCTAGAACAAAACGCAGGCCCTTGACCATTGCCAGGACACTTGAGCAGCTGGAATCGTCCCTGGTTTGACATATCTCATTTAGTTCTTTCCTTAAACTCTGGTATGTGGCCATCATTTCATCATCATTCGCTGGAGAGGAGAGCCTTCGCAATGTGACCAATGAAAACTCTAGGATCTTTCCCAGGTAATCAATGTCCAGGTTACCAGACTTTAAAACCTAAGGAAAAGAAAATAATTTAATTTTCCATACATGCATATGAAGGTAATGTTGCAGAAGAAAATTAACGGTGCTGCTACCTGAGAGAGAATATCCACATCAATAGCTTCAAAAATCTCTTGCTTCCAGCTCTGTGGAGCCATCTCGCAGATTTCATCCCTCACCTCCATCATGAGTTGAATTATTCTGTCATAGTTGGGCTCGTCCTGTTTTACAGATTCAATTATGCCATCCCAGAAAGCCTTCTCCATTGTCTGTCTAATCTTTGACTGGAAAATATAATACTACCAGTCAGACAAGTGCTAAAATTTCTAGCTTATCATCAGTAAAAACATGTATAACAACAAACTAAATTTTATTTTCAAAATATGACCACCATAAATAGATGAAAAAGCATTACTTGTGAGCCTGTCAACATCCAAAACAATAAGAATTACATCTTTAAGTTAAAACCACTATTTTAAAATATGAAAATGCACAAACCTGGACATTGTTTGGATCTTCGTCATTAACATTAAAAATATCGGCAAAAGCCTGCTTTTGCTCATGGAGAAACTCATTCACAATCAATTCATTCTCTGTGACCAACTTTTGTGAAGAAGATCCAAGCTGCTGATCCAAACTGGTTTTTGGAGCAGAGGACACAACTCCATGATGGGCAGTATCATCTTCCCTAAATAAGGATCGGACTACACGACCTGAATCACTTCTCTTATCTGCACTAGCAGAAGGACTGAGTGGTGAACTAGGGGGACTTGGAGAAGTAATGTGTGTGACCTGCTGCAACCCCGACGGGCTTCCATTTTCCTTTGCTTGAAAGTATTTTAACCGTGTTTCAGATATAGCAGATTTCATACGCTCAATCCCAGCATCTCCACCTAGGTGCTGCACTTTTTCCCTCAGTAACTTTTGGTCTTCAGTAACCTACGCCAACAGGTAACTCAAATTGTCAATCAATAAGTCAACACAAAGATACTGCTAGATTTTCAAAAAAAAAAAGAAAAGAAGACAAAGTTGAACAATTCCTACAAAGTAAATTTGTAAAACTAGTCAATATTTAGCTTATTCTTTTACTGAGAAATTATATAAAAAATGGCCCCAATCACTGAAAGAGATGAAAGTTAGCAAGAATGCCTTTCACTTTTCGGAAAGTTCACAGACCATAACCATGACATGTATGTTTTCCCATACAAACTCATAATGATTTGTAAGTGAAAACAAGTTCACAAGCAAGCAACAAGAATAAGTAGAAAACGGAAAGAGGGGGGTGTGTAAACACATTAGTTTATCACGGAAAGTAAAACCTAAAATAGAGAGGAGGGTGTGCCAGTTTCTTATGTCTTCTCTCCCCTACGCATAAATCAATATACAACTAACATACCTGTTTCTGAATAGCCTTCACTTCATGAGTAAGATCACCACTCTCTCCTTGCGGAGTCATCTTGCAAGTTTGAATCATGGAGAGCTCTAAATGGCACGCTGCTCTCACTAAATCTTCCACTAATAACCGAGCATCCTTAACCTTCCAACCCACAAAACAATTCAAGTAGGAACACCATGCTTTATCAAAGGCTCCAAGCTGAGATCTGAAGGTCAAATGTTTGGGCAATGCGGAATCAGACTCTTCATCAGAACTCTGTACAGGGCTGTCCAATATAACTTTTAGTAGTAACTCAAACTGTCTAACAAACTCTTCTGCAGATTTGGCCAGAGAAATTTCAGGCTCTCCACTACCACTGAAAACCGCATCTGGATGACCCAAAATCATGTAAGCACAAAGCACCACTCTCATCGGATACCTTGATAATTTAACAGAATTTCTAGCTGCGTCCCTGATGGAAGATTCTTTCTTTGCATCTCTGCTCCTTAAAGATGTCCTTGGTGTAGTCCTCTTTCTTGGGGAAGCAACTCGTTTGAGAAGGTGGTCTATGTTATCAAAGCTGGATGGATAATTTATTGAGGCAACAGTCCTGGAAACTTTTAACCGGATCTCAAGCCTGTCAAGAAGAGCTTTCAAAGTCTGAAGGGTATTAGTTGATTCAATCAAAATTGCGAGCTGCTCAAACGGCATTGACTTGACAGTCTTTTCATTAATTTTCAAGGCATCATAATCTTTTGCCAAAGCAAGTGTAGTTCTCCTTAGCATGAGGAAACGCCTCCAACACCTATTAAAACATCAACACAAATTTAGGCTGAAAGTTGTAGTTTAAACTGAGGTGAAGAATAGGATAAGAGCATGTTACAACAACAACAACAACAATGCCATAGATAATAGCATTTTACAAGCTAATAATTTTCACTGGCATAGAAACAGGTGAAACTTAATCTAATCTTCACAACCACCAAACAAAATACGACTGACTCTGGTACACAGCCAAACACAATAAGGAATACCAAACATCTACTGGGAAATACCAGAACAAGGCTTTGACACAGACAAAGGAAGGTTTAAGTTAACCAAACAGGGAAAACTCTCTGAAATCA